AGGTCAAAAACACAGACTTCTCCCCAAACACTCGGGCTTCTGCAGCGACATCTGCTGGTGACTCGGTCACACTGCAGTCACATCAGTTAGACCTGTTCGGACACTAAATTAATAGTTAAGTTAATCATTTAACTATTATTTCACCCGCTTCATAAAATGACTGAAGCAGCATCCATCTGAAGAGCCGTCCTCCCCTAAAGATTTACCAGCAATTTACTCTTTTCATCCTGAAACACGACACCGTGCACATCGCAGCCCTCACAGGCTCCACCCCCATTCCTAATTTTCCAAAAACTTCCAAACTAAATCGGAGCAATTCAAACAAAATTTATGTCATTTTCCACACAGATCAGTTTAGATGCTGCTGAGCAACACCGGTGTTTGCGGTGCTCAATTTTTATGAAGAATTACAAATAAATCAACGACATCGTTCTCACCATTGTCCTGGATGATGCGTTTGAGGTGATCAGCCATCAAGTTCTTCAAGGCACGCTTGTAGGGCAAACCAAGGCGGTGAGGAAACACGATGGCCGTGTCTACAACCGAGCTGTGGATGAGCTGCAATCCAGAGAGGAAAGCACCCACGCTGTTACATCATAGCTTTTTAAAAACTCACTGCAGTGATCGTTTGGTAAACCTCGTGGGGTTAAGTTAATACATTTTAAGCAGAGGGAGGACGTCCTCCACCAGCGCTACCTCTCACGATATAAAATCCTTTTATTCGAGTTATCATATTCACAAGACTTTCAGGAAACCTGCACAGCTGGGTGGACGGCTGAAGGGGAAAAAGGAAAAATGAAACTGCTTTACATTTTAAATTTTCACTCACTTTCAGAGCGAGCAGGTCGCTCTCCAGGCTGTGTCCTATCAGGATGGATTCAGCGCTGAACATGGAGAGCAGCACGGCCTGAACGTCTCTCAGAGTGATGGCGGCGCTCTCCAGATCCTCCGCCGTTACACCCGAAAACCTGTGAGTCACACACGAGATCAAAATCAGACCCGAGATCACTGTTGGTTTAGTTAAGCAGCAAAAGCCGGCTGGTATATTGTCGGGTTACGGGGGTGAACGGAGAGGACTCACCGCGTGTTGTAGTCCACCACTTTGCTTTCAGGTTTCACAAACGTGTCGTAGATGACTTTCATCTCTGAGTCGATGACCGTCACCCGGGTCAGCTCCAGACCCTGCTTTGTGTAACACTGTTTCCATAGGTGAGGGGAAAATGAATAAATGACAAGAAACAAAAAGTTTCTCTCATTTCTACACAAGAAACTCTCTTTGAAATAAAGATTTTCTTTAGCAAACATATGAGTAACTAAAAAAAGCATAAAAGCTCATTACAGGTGAAACTATGTATAAATCAACAAGAAACTCAATAAATTAACTCTAAAAATAAAAACGCACAAAACTGAAGATGGTGGTGAACTCACCATCTCACAGTCCAGAGCAAACACCCCTCCGTTTCCATCTGGAGGCAGAGGTTTGCTGAAGGTCGACACGAAGCCGTCCAGTGATTCTTTACGCCCGTCCTGAACGTGTTGCTGTGGGGACGGGAACCGTTTTAGGTCTGATAAACTTAGTAAAAGATGAAAAATGAACCATTATTGTACTGTAGGGTCAATATATAAGGTGCATATGTAAATAAACAGGGATACATGTAACATAAGGTATTAAAAAGGTCAATTCAACACATCAACTGAAACCATGAGTGACTCGTGTCCATCTTACTCTGAACCGCCGTCTAACCCACCGCTGAACTCTGAACACGACGCTGCTTTAATAAAATCCGCGTCTTATGAAGTTGTTGCCTTGGGTGAGACTTAATAAATCAAGATTATGAGCTATGTTAAAGTGATCAAAGTGAGTTGTATGATTTATGCCGTCAGTTAAAAAGCTGAAGGCATCGCAGAGAAGCCTTAATGAAGGCCGGAGGCGCAGCAGGATGAACAGCTGCAACAAGTAACTCCAACCCCGGTAACAAGTTGTACTTTCTACCTAAGATACACCTTGGTAGTCCATCTGCAGGAAGTTGTAGTTTTAACAAAGCGGACTCTCATCAAACACGTCTGTCGGCGTGTTATCAGGTACTTTTGTGCGAGTAGATTCTGAACAATGCGACTCTCAGCAAGAAATCTTCGTCTCGTCTTTTCTCGACCTTACGAGTTTGCGTTTAGATCACGGAAAGGTCATCAGCAGGAGACGTGCAACATGCAGGATTCTTTGCATCATGACCACAAACCAGTTCTTATCACGACTGCCACTTTGCTGCTTCCTTGTTATTTCTCTCAGTTACAGCCAAGTTTAGACACAAACGAGGAATCCGTCTTCAAAGGTGAAAACTTTACTGACATTCAGACAGAAAAACAAAGAAAAGAAACTGAACGTGCACGCCTGCTCTTTTTATCAGGTGCTTTCATACCTGCACTTTATACATATCTA